GACTAATTGCTTCCATGAATCTTTGGTTTTCTTCATTCTTCTTTGCTCTGGACGAGGAGAGACCCATTGTTGCATCTAGATGGCTGCTTCCAAGCTTTTAAGATCCCAGTTGCTACTCACCAAAGTAGATGGAACAGTGTTTTGTGTAGTATGTTATGCCAATTGAGCTTGATGTCCCCTGCAACTATGGTCCCGAGCCCATCGGTTCAACTACTCGGTCACTCTGGGTAGCTGGCTGTGACCAAGAAGCAGCTACAACCTTGTCCCTTGTCAGCTCTACTATACACCTGGGACTTCTTACAGATTACACAAATACACTTATAGAGGACCTTTGTCTGCCAACCCTATACATGGTCTTGGGTACACTCCCTGCTGCATAGACATACCTAATAGTTCAGCCTGCCCACCCATCTATCCACCCATATACCCATGTTTCTCTTCACTGAAAACGCAGTACCATATGTGCAAAAGGGTTCATCTTTGTTGTCTGTACCTCCCAAGTACCTCTCTCTGTCTTCCTCTTCCTCAATGCCACCATGTTGTTTACTCACATTTGGTACATTGCCCTTCTCTTTACCCATATCAATACTTATCTCTACCTATCTAACAGTGTTCCCTCCCCTCCTCTCCCACCCCTGGTAACCAACAAAGAAAAACCTTTCCCTGACTTTCACAATAACAGACTAATACAATATTTGTCCTTCTGTGATTGACTTATTTCACTCAGCATAATGTGCTCCAAGTTCATCCATGTTATGCAGTGTTTTGAAGATTCTATGTAATTGTTTAGGGTTGCATAGTATTCCACTGTGTGTATATACCATAGTTTGGTTACCTATTCCTCAGTTGACGGACACCTAGGTTTTTTCCATCTTTTTGCTATTGTAAATAGTGCTGCAATGAACATGGGTGTGCATTTGTCTGTTCCTGTCATGGCTCTCACTTCTTTAGGATAAATACCTATAATGGAATGGCTGAGTCAAATGGTATTTATATTCCAACTTTTTAAGGAATTGCCATACTGCTTTCCATAGTGTTTGTACCATTTTCCAGTGCCACCAGCAGTGTAGGAGAGTCCTCCTAATCTCTCCACATCCTCGCCAGCATTTGTTATTTTGTGTCTTGTTGTGTCTTATTTGTCTTTTTGTTATTGAAGTGTTGGAGTTTTCTGATTCTAGAGATAAGCCCCTTGTCAGATATGTCATTGCCAAATATTTTTTCCCAATCTGTAGGTTCTCTTTTGACTCTTTTGGAGAAGTCTTTGAAAGCACATAAAAATTTAATTTTTAGAAGGACCCATTCATCTAGTTTCTCTTCTGCTGTTTATCCATTTTGGATTATGCTTGATAGTCTATTTATCCCATATATTAGGGCCCCTAAATTTGCCCCTAGTTTTTTCTTGAGAAACTTTATAGTTTTTTAGGTTTCACATTTAAGTCTTTGATCCATCTGGAGTTAGTTTTTGTGTACGGTATGAGGTACAGTTCTTGTTTCATTTTTCTGCAAATGTATCTCCAGTTTTGCCAGCACCATCTACATAACAAACATTTTCTTCCCCATTTAATGGATTTTGGCCCTTTGTTTAAGATCAGCTGTAGTCACTTCTTAGCCACAGCCAGCTACTCAGAAGGAGCAAGTAATTGGACCTATGGGCTCAGGACCATAGTCGCAGGGGACATCAAGCTCAACTGGCATAACATACTACATAAAACATTGTTCTACCTCCTACTTTGGCGAGTAGCAACTGGGATCTTAAAAGCTTACAAGAAGCCATCTAGATGCCACGATGTGTCTCTCCTCATCTAGAGCAAAGAAGAATGAAAAAAAACAAAGATTCATGGAAACAACTGGTCCAAGTGACTGGTAAACCACGCAATCTGCAGCCAATACAACTATGAGACCAGAAGAACTAAATGATGCTTGGCTACCACTGTCAACCACTCAGAGGGGGATCTATGTAGGAGATCTTGGATAGAGAAGGAGAACAATGTGGAACAAAACTCAAAATCATTTGGGGGGAAAAAAGGGGGGGAAACAGGTTTGCTGGTCTGCTAGAGCCTGATGGAACCTCTGAGACTATGGCCTCTAGCTGCCCTTCAGGTCTGGAATTGAACCCACTTCTGTGGCTTCCAGCCAAACAAAAGACAAGCATATGAGGTGGACATTTATATTAGGTAGACATACTCCTTGGAGAGAACAATCATGGAAGAATAGAAGGGCTGCTTATGCACAGGGAGACAGCTCAGGGGGCAGGAGTGCATGGAAAGAAGGACACAGGGAAGAGGTAACTATGAGGAGTAAGTGGGAGGGGAGCTGTTGCATTGTGGGAAATTGTTATCAATGTCATGAGACAAAGTGTATGTAAGCTGCTATAAGGAAAATGAATTTGCTCCATAAACTTTCACCCAAATCACAATTTAAAAAAAAAAGATTATAAACTGCAGCACCTTGGGGAAAAGCCTTGGTGTGGCCTGTTTGTGCCTCTGAAGAGAAAGCCTGCCTCTCATCATCCATGGTATGTGCAGGCCATCGGAGGTTGGTGAGTCAGGGATTCCCTAGGCCACAAACCTGCTCCATTAGAAGTTCTATATTCAGAGCTCATAGAAGGCTCGTTTGCATACCTTAATGCTCCAGACAAAGAGTAACAATCCACATGTCCTAATTGCTCCAGATCAGAGCCAGAGAATATGATGAGAAATAGCTTCAGCTGAAGACCAAGACAATCATTACACAGCTACTTCCCCAAAAGGCTCCAAGATGCAATGGATCTACTAATGAGTTTTGTTAATGAAAAAGAATAGATAATTGCACATTGAACAGAACAGAAAAGATAGGTACTCATACAGTTCAGACCAGCAAACGTAACTCTGGTCCCCAAACCCAATGAACATACACACTCTAACACATATCACTGCATGTCTTCACATAAAATGCTGAACACAGCTAATGGCACTAGTTTCCTCCTCATTTGTAGGAGGTCAGATGTCAGTTCCAAGAAGGACTGGATAGTTTGTCTGACTTTGTATTAACATATTCTATCTTTATCAAAGTCTTAACAAACCTTGTACTATAAGAGGGAGGACATTATGCTAAGAGTATTCTGGAATTCATACCATGGTTGTAGCACACCCATTTTGACATATATCCCCATCCACACCCTCTTCTCTGAATCTGTACCTCACTCACAAGGCTGAGTCTCCTCAGCCGTGTTTGTCCACTCTGACCATATAATCCTGACATTACGTGACTGGACCAGCCCTGGATATGTGACTAAAATGGGCTGGACTAGAGTTGCTAATCTCAGTCTGAGACAGTGGCCTTTGGGGAGGGCAGGTTGGAAAGATAGAAAAGATGTCATGCACAGATAGAAAAGAATGTGAGGCAGGCAAGGGGGCAGGACTCAAAGGATTAACTTAAAAAAAAAAAAAAAAACAAGCTACAGGCCTAACTGCTGTAGCTAAAGACTAACTCACATCCTGGAACACAGGGTACAGAAGTAAGCAAGCAACCTGTACAATTCCAGGCTCCATATCTTGCATGATCTTTTACAGGGGTCTGTGGGCAATCTACCCTCCTCAGCTCCCCAAGCATGCACACATCACTGCAAGATGACCATATATAATCTTCCTGGGGCAGCAATATTGAGGCAAGGATATCAACTGGGAATCAAACCAGTGCCCCAAGGAACAGCACATGTATGTCACCCCTTTCTAGGAAACTACCACCCCTTGTCAGAAAATCCCCACCTGTTTCAAAACCCTTAAAAAAAACAGCAAATTTCTGCTCAGGGAGACGAAGGCCAGCATTGCTTAGTCCCTCTTTGTCTCCACTCATGAGCTACTTTCTCTTTCTCTTTCATGTGGAAACTCTAAGCCTCTAAGGGCTCCCTGGAACAAAGGCTGTTGTTGTTGTTATGTGCCCTCGAGTCAGCCCCAACTCATAGAGACCCCTCCTTGGGTTGCCGAGGCAGTATCACTACGGAAGTAGATTGCCCAACCTTCCTTCTGAGGAGTGGGCTGATGGGTGATGCAGAGACTGCCTGAGTGCTGGGTGGCTGTCCAGGCTGATACAGCTCCATGCCCATGAAGTCTGTAACATGCCCCTTTCTCTTTGTAATCAATCCCTCTCCTGTCTATTAAACTACTTTGAAACAGATTTCCATTATTTGCTTAAAAAAAAGAATTCTGACTGAAATGACTGTACAGCCTCATTATCAACTGCTAACCATTTCCAGAAACTTTTTTTTTAAAAAGTAAAATCCACATTTTTCCCTTCACTGAATAATGTTGTTTCTAAAACTGTACATATGCTTTTAATGTGAATGTGTATGTGTTTTGCTATGACAACTGGTTTCAAAAACAGAAAAAAAGGCCACCACCAGATTTTGGGGTCAACAAAAAGAAAGAAAGCTCTCTAGAAAAATGTTCTGCTTACATCCCTTCTTGATGGTGAATATTTCCAACAGGAGGAGCCTGGAAAAAGGAATTGGTGTTACAAGGTCTGATGCCAAGGCATAGAGGCCTGCAGCCACCAACTGCTCCCAGCCTTGCCAGAGTGGGCCAGATAAGGCGACATTCTCTGGGGAATCCAAACATCTTGCTCAACTAATGAAAACTGTTGAGAATGGAAAGTCCTAGATGTTGTCAATGACAAGGGTTTAAGTTAATACCATGCATTTACAGAAACTTTGGAAGGAAGGCTGGGCAAACTACTTCCATAGTAATAGCACCTCGGAAACCCAAGGAGTGGTCGCTATGAGTTGCAATTGACTAGATGGCAGTGAATTTGGTTTTGGTTATAGAGACTTCAAGAGAAAAACTAAGCTTCCTAACAATGAGTGGCTAAATCCTCCTTCCCAGAAACCACCTTACTTAGTGTAAGAGTGTAAAGGACCAAGTACAGACCTCTGGCTGGATGGCTTTAAACACAGGTATGTCCATCAGTGTGATCTGGCTCTGCAACGAAAGAGAAATACTGTTAGAAATTCCTGTAATTCTTATCTTACTGTAGATCTAGACAGGGTAATAAGACATTTTTGAAAGTTATACTTTCCCCCTTAAAATAAAAAACAAGATAGACAGAGTATAAAATTGGGTGAGTATCTAAAATGCCTCTCCCTGCTTTTTCTCCTCATATATCTTGATCTACACCCTTCTCTCTTGAATGTGAGATGAATTTTCAATTTACGAATTGATACTTGTTTTGAGCATTAGGCTGAGAGTAAGGGGAACATTTTTACTTTGGATATCTGAATTTTTGTTTCAAACATGAATTGCGTTTGTAATTTTAAAAAGCTGTAGTTACATACTAAAAATTAGGATGCTAAACAGAGACAGTATCATTCTAAATTTAAATTTAAATCTGTGGTTTATAGAAATTATACACTTCTTTCCAAGTTTATGCCCTCCCTAAATTATGCAGTAGAGTACATCCACAGACCAGTGTTGGTCCATGAAACGTTTGTTCCACCAGCCTACAATAATATCAGTAAAGAACTTGAGAGTAGTAAGGGTTTGGAAACTTTTATAGCAATGAGACATTGCTGGAATAATTTTTATTGTAGTTTTTAGGACTGGTAGTCCTCAACAGATTAGAAATGAAAAAAACTAATTTCTCACCACTACTAGCTTGAGAAGCACTAATGTCATCAACAGAATAGCTTGAGAAGCACTAATGTCATCAACAGAACAAACACATGTCATATTAAAAGGCTGTTCCTACAGTTAGAAGCTCATATATTTTCAGTAAGAGAAGGCACTGTCGCTGACAGTCTTACAGGGCAAGGCACAAAATGACTGAATTCACATGATCAATCTACTCCTCATATCACATGGAATGCCAGATGTCAATTAACAAATGCCTTTGTGAAGGCCTGGGAATGGAGAACTGAGGGCCACTGGATGCCTGCTAATGTGAGAAGACATCCTGTCCACTGAACACAAGGTTATTTGGGATGATATGATGCAGTGAAACAAATGTGAGCTATGGAACCAACAGGACCTGGGTCTATGCCTGGATACCATTGCTTAATAGCATATTATCTTTGACATGTGACTTAACCTTTCCTGTCTCAGATGCCACATCTAGAAAATGATGATAATTCCTACCTCACAAGACTTTTATAAAAATTCTAAACAAGATGTGCTGAATGTCTGGCACCTGAAGGACCCTAAATAGGTTTTTGTTTTTTCTTGGCAAAAGTAAAGTCACATAGGTAGGTTCATGCAATGGCATGTGAACTTATGGTTCCTAACCAATAAATGAGCTAGGAAATAAGGAACCATTAATTTGGCTAGGATGGTTAAGTTTGTGTGTCAACTTGGCTAGGCCTGGTTGAGTGGCTGGGCAGCTGGATGTAGTATTCCCCATGATGAGACGGGTAATCAACTCCATGGTGGAATCTACTATGAGCAGCTGAGTAGCTGCCTTTGGGTACATGGTCTGTTTCCCGTATATAAGAAACAGCTTTGGGAATGGTCTCTAGCTTATGGCATACTTGAACCCTGCATGTAGCTGTGTCATTGTTCAGCAGCCTGTCATGCTCTACTGACCTTGGGACTTTCAGTGGACTTGAATTAATGGCCTGCCATGTGGTTTGGTAACATCAGGACTGTGCCTTTTTACTTGTCAACCTTGAGCTTGTCAGTCTCAGAACCCAGCACTGTCTGAGTAAAGAAAAGCCTCTAGCTCCAGTGGGCCAGGAGCAGGAGGCAGAGCTGAACCCCAAGGTTGAGGGGCTTTCACCCAGCCCCTAGAGCCTGGCACTTTGAACTGGGACTTAAAGCCTCCAAACTGTAAAATAAACTCCTGTTCATTAAGGCCATCCCATTTGTAGTATATTCCTATCAGAGTGGCACTAGGTAACCGGAACATTGGCTGAGTATCAATGTATCTTAGAGATGTATTGCTTTAGATGCATTGCATAGCTTTAGAGAAAATTAAAAGAAGGCTGTTACCCTGAGCCAACAAACCCTGTCATTAAAAAAAAAAAAAATAAAACTCATATTGGGGATCTCTGTAGGAGATCCTGGATAGAGTGGGAGAACAATGTGGAACAAAACTCAAAATAATTATTTAAAAAAAAAAAAAAAAGGACCAGGTTTTCTGGTCTGATAGAGCCTGAGGGAACCACTGAAACTATGTCCCTTTACTGCCTTTCAGGTCTGGAATTGAACCCAATCCTGTGGCTTCCAGCCAAACAAAAGATAGGCACATGAGTTGAACATTTACATTAGGTAGATACACTCCTTGGAGAGATCAATCATGGGAGAATAGAAGGACTGTGTATGCACAGGGAGACAGCTCCAAGGACAGGAGTACATGGGAGGGAAGGACATAGGGAAGAGGGAACTATGGGGAGGAAGTGGGAGGGGGGCTGTTGCATTGTGGGAAATTGCAGTCAATGTATGTGTGCTGATGTATGGAAAGTGAACTTGCTCTGTAAACTTTCACCCAAATCATAATAAAACTTAAAAAAAAAAATCCTCAAATTAAGAATATGTTGCAGAAAAATGGCAACATGCACATGCATATCAACTGTAAACACAAATCAGGGCTTAGGTATGGAAGTGTGAGCAGCTTCTGGCAGAATTCAAAAATGGTTCAAGGTCACTGAATTCCTGAGAAGTACAGGATGCAGGCCATAGCATACCATCCTCAGCAGAGGAGCTACTAATGGAATCTTGGCAGAAAGACAGAGGAGTGGCACCAGGAGTAAAGCACCACCTGCAGCAAATCCGAGCTCTTCCACCTCTTGGGTTCCACCCCCAAGTGGTGAGGGACATTTGGTATCAGCACAACATGGATCTGGCCTTCATATTCCAGGTGTAAAGTGGCTAGCAAGGCCTAAAGGCCTATAGGTCCGTGTCTGGGCCATAGGGCCCAAGCTAAATCCTGGGCAATGCAGACAGACATTTCTCCCAGACCCATTGGGATTGTTAGCCAACTGTTCCTTGTATTTGAATTAATTCTGCCATCCTGGGGAACAGAAAGGTCTTGTGAAAACAGGAGATTTGAGCTGAAAGCTCAGAGGGACTTGGAAATCTCTCCTGCAGTTCAAGTTAACTCCCTATCCGGGAGAACCGGCAGGATGTTTGCAATGTCATTTAGGAAACGAACCAAAAGTCTGCTAATGTGAAAATGACAAAACTTCCTTTCCATCCCGCCATCAGTTCTAAGGCTTGCTACTGAATTTCCAAATGGTTTATTAAAATAATGATCTTACATTTCAAATTTTTTTCTGATGGTCCCAGTTTCAGGAATTCTAGTCCCTTTTCAGACCACAAGTCAGAAAATGTGTTCAGGTGTTTTATGCAAAACAAACAACAGAGGTCACCAGACTTAAAATAGACTGACTGGCCCTAAACACACAATCTGGGGGTTTTTGGAAAAAATTCCTATTTCTAGCCTCTCAATTTTAATAAAAAGAAGATGCAGTGTCCAGAGCAAGAATAAATCAGTACAAAATACCTAGGTAAAAACATCAGATATTAAGTTTCATGTCATTTTAGTGCAAGGCCAAATGTGTGCAATGTTGTTGTTGTTGTTGTTTTGCCGTCGAGTCGGCCCCAACTCATAGCGACCCCTCCTTGGGTTTCCGAGGCAGTATCACTACGGGAGTAGGACTGCCCAACCTTCCTTCCGAGGAGTGGCTGGTGGGTTTGAACCGCCAGCCTTCTGGTGAGCAGTCAAGTGCCTTAGGCACTATGCTACCAGAGCTCCTAAATGTGTGCAAAGAGGTTACTAATGAGCAATCCTTCCCAAAAGTTTGAACACTCCAAAGCAGGCAGTTTTTCCAAAAAAGAGGGTGGGGAGGCCTGCGGGCGAGGTCAGGTCCTGTTAAACTTCAAAAGCGGATGGATCCTGGTCATGAAAGACTGCCTCTCCCTCAGGAGAGACGCCCCAGCTTCCTGGAGAGGAAGGGGATTTCCCAGGGGTGCATTAGGGCTTCAACAGAAACACGAAACAGTGAGGTTCCCACTCCTGTTTCCAAGCAGCAAATTCTCCCAGTAGTGGGGAATACATGTCTTGGATTGAACAAGGACACTCCCAAACAATCTCTTAATGGCTTATCCTTGTTTCTGGAAGAAAACCTATATACAGGAAGTCCAGTTAAACTAGTCACCTGGCAATGCGTCCTTAATCAGAGCCCCTTCTTCCTCCTAGTCAAGGGCCTCTAGAATCCAGGCATTTAAGAAAAACTGCCTATCTCCACACATCAAAAAATCTTTCAGTAGAGATGAATCCTTCCAACTAGAGAGACCTACTGGAGCACTTCACAATGTGTCCCTAAACAAAAAAGTAGTATTAATTATTTGGCTACTTGGTTAGCCAAAAAAGAAGAAAAAAAATGTTTTTTTACATAAGTGGAATGTAATGTTTCTCCCCTCTCTTCCAAGCCCCCCAAAAAACTAACAAAAAAAGCTTTTGGCAAATCAACAGTGTGTCTGATCTTAAGATAAATAACATCTTAAATAAATGGAGAATATTACTCCACCAATGCATGACTAGGAGGCCTCACAAAAAGAATTTCACAGAACAAAAAATAATCAGCTCCAGAGATACATTTCCACTTCTACCCCCAGCGCACAGGAAGCACTTCTGGAATTCTAGAATGGCAGTCAGGGAAATGCAAATTCAAACAGAAAGATCCCATTAGCTGTCCATCAATGCCATCACTACAATGGGACCATGAACTGTTATTTTTTAAAGTAATCTGGTACTATCTCATT